TCTTCTTCTTCTTCTTCTTCTTCTTCTTCTTCTTCTTCTTCTTCTTCTTCTTCGCGGCCCCTCGTTAGATCTCAGGGGTAAATGACTATTTGACTGGTTCTTCAACCTGCTGAGCAATTGTTTCTTGTTATTTTTTTTGTTTGTTATTTGGTTGTTTTTTGTTGTTGCTGTTTTTACGTATCTGACCTCTTTTCTAACTTCAAAGAGTCCTTTGCCTTCAAGTAGCCACATTCTGATTTCGAAGGTACTCTATTTGTTTTTATACTGACTAGAATATTAATTTTCAGTTTTGGTAGAAATTTTGAATTTTGCCTAGGAGGTGGCTGAACCCTACTCTTATCGATTTTAGAACCACCAAGGGATCTTTAACGCGGGCAATTTGCACACGGGACCTAAAAAAATTATAGTCCTTATCCGAGAAGGCTAAGTGTTAGATGTTACCTACCCTTAGATCAGGAGATGTGGTTGAAGAACACAAATGTGTGGGTTTCGAAGTGGCCAGCTCTTGTTGGTACAACAGTCAATGCTGACTATTACAATTCGTTCTTCAAATAGAGCTGAGGTCAGCAATCAGAAGAAAACGGCAGAGTCTGCTTGAACAAGATGTTGTCTTCCATCATGACAAAGCGCCTACGCACACTGCTTGAAAAGGGGGAAAGTGCTGAACTCCTGACACTGGGGGATCTATGAACATCCCTGCTATTCCCCAGACTATGCATCCTTCAACTTTTAATTATTCCCCCAAACCAAAAAAGGACTAACCGGACAGCGATTCGAAGGCGGGAAAGAAGTTGTGCCCGCAACAAATGCTGCTCCAAGAACTCCGACCGAAGCGGACATGGTTACTGCATTTGACCGAAGGCTACATCAGGCAGACAAGAAAGTGCATTGTGATCAACGGTTGTTGTACTGAATTGAAAATGTGCTTTTGTAGGTATGATCAAAGCTTCATGCATGTGAAACTGAAATAAAAAGTTGATTTACAGAACAAGGAAACTTACTTAAGGGACAGACTTTTTACACAGACTGATCAAACCTGGCTTTGATGACCAGGAAACACTAAACGAGTTGATGATTATTGGGCACTCTCATACGCACTTTTTTCTACTAATCAGATGTCGTCAATATCATAGAAATGGGCAAGGGGGAAAAACGTGTGGATGATGACACAGACAAGAATTAATGTTTTTTGTAAAGACGAATGAGAGAGTGAAGGGTGAAATAGAATACAATTTTGAATTAGGGTAATCGATCAATAGAAGTCAATGTGAGTCTATGGAGAAAGAAAAGGAGAGCCGAGAATTAAACCAATTAGACTTTGTGTGTTTGAAAGTGTAGCAAATTCATGTATCATGAATGCTGGGAATGCCAAGAATGCAGATGCAGATCCACTGAATGACGTGGATCACGATCTACCACCGCCAACATCGAGACTTGGGGTGATAGCAGACCAGTCTTCCAAACAGTTTCATCACTTTTCGTTGATGGTTTACTTTTTTGTTAACCCGCTCCAGATAGGAAAAACTGACTGGGGGTGTTTGTGTTTGTGAGCGTAGTGCGCGCGCGCCATGTGTGTGT